CTGCTGGTCTGGTGGGGGTCAGAGGTCCCATCCACGTTCCTGAGGGCGCTCTGCAATAAAACCAGGTGTATGGAGTCCACATCAAATCTGTTCATTTCCGTGCACATATGCATTATAAAGCAATGACAAGAAACACATTTTTAGGGAGGAAAGCTCGTTGCTGTGTTCAATCCGGCTGCTTCTTTCCCTCTGCCAGGGAGCTGGGCTGCCTCTTTCTGGCTGGGCCTCGCTGGACTTGCTGAGCACGGGTTCCAAAGCACAGTCCCTGCAGCCCCTGCAGCCCCTGCGCCAGGTGCCTGTGGCTGGGAGACACGCACAGAACCACCAGCAGCTTTGCGTCGCCTCCTTTAAACAAGAAGAAACACATGCAAGCTGGAAAAAAGAGCAGCATCTTGAAGTGCCCAAATGCTAGCGACCGGGGCCTGGGACGGGCGGCTGCAGAGAGTGGCCACCTGGTGCCGGAGCAGGAAAGTGGCTGCATCTAGCCAGCTCCTGGGACTCCGGGTCCAGGTAGGTCAGCTGCTGATCACTAGTACCCTTCACCTAGGGAAGCCGCAGGCCTTCTCCTCTCCCTCCTGTGTCCCGGGAATTACAGGGGTGAAAAGTCAGCCGGACAGTGAGTCTGACAGTCACCCTGAGGCGTGCTCTCGGCCCCCCAGGGCTGCTCTTTCCAAACCTCCCTTGTGCCGATGCTGGCTGCTCGCGGCCCACAGCTCTGCAGCTCCCTCGGGCCCCACTGGCAGGAGTCATGATCCTGGGGCTTGTCCTCCTGAGGGAATTCTGTCTCTTCATGTTTTCAGGACCAGTAGCGAGGGTTAAGCAGTACAGATGGAAACCACAAACAACAGAGAGGGAAGGTAGGGCTAAGAGGGGCAGTGCAGACCCCGGAGGCTGGGGCCCAGGCTCCACGAGGGACCTGCTGGCTCTCGGGCGCTGTGTACCCCACGGTGCCGCTCTGAGCTCACAGGTGGGCTGCACACCCAGCCCAGGCCACCCGGTCTCTCTGTGGGGGCTATGAGCTTTGGAATCCAAGAGTGCCACATGGTCTCTTAGAGGCAGAATCTAAACATGTGACCCAGTGAACAGCCCCACTATTCACCATGTGGAGGAAGCCAGTTGGCCATGACAGGGGAAACGTCCTACAATGAGAGACAGGGAGAGTGCCTGGAACATTCTGGCCCCCTGAGTCCCAAGCACCAGCAGCCCCTCCACAGCCTCCCAGGGCGTCCCTTCCAGGAAAGAGGAGCCCCCACACTGGTGGCCACGTGCCCCTGCCACCCCTGCCATCCTGCCGTGGCCTTTCTCCGGGCAGGGTCTGCAGGGCCCAGGGCCGCCTCTGGGGGCCTCTGCCTGGACCCTCAGCATCAGGAAGCCCGGCCCCAGCAGAGGCCACTTTGCGGCCGTGATGCTTCCTCGGGTGGGTCCTCCCTTCCAACCGGTCCAGAGTCTGAGTGGGGGAAGGGGCACTAACTGAGCTCCCCCAAACCACCAAGCCCAGATCTGGCCACAGCTGGGTGTCTCCCCCCAGGGGCTGCCTGCGCCCCACCTGGCATCGGCGCTTCATCTGCTGCATCCGGGCTCTGGCACCTGCCCCCAAAAGACCGGAGGAACTGGCGGCCCGAGCAGGCCCACCCGGCTGGAGGGCCCCAGGCCACGTGCGCAGCAGCAGCCTGGAGATCCTCAGTCACCCTGGGGGACCCCCCTGGTGAAGAGAGAGGCCAGAGCTGCCACCCTTGAGACACTGACCCCCCACCGTGAGGCAAGTCACACACAGACCGAACAAGCAGGCAACCAGACTGAGGCATGACGGCGCAGGAGAATAGCCACCCATGCCGTGGGAGGAGAGGGGATGGGAGGAGCAGTGGGGCATGAGTGGCCCTCGAGGACACGCAGGTTGGACGTGTGTGCATGTGTCCTGGGGTACAGGGTCCCCATCCTGGGGCATTTCGGGGTAAGCATTACGGAGGCAGTCCTGAAGGAGGTGGGTGGGTCTGCTCTTCTGGTTTGGGACATGGCCGAGGCGCTCCGACAAGGTCCCCAGGACGTCTGCCAGGAGTGCAAGACTGCGGTTGATGCACGCTGTCTCCCTCAGGGCCGCCCCGGTGGCCCCGGACACACCTGGAACAGGACAGGGACTATCATGCACCATCACCATTTGCACTAAGAAGGGACGCAGGAAAAGCAAAACCAGCTCCTTGGCAGGAGCGGCTTTTGGGCAGGTAGAGGGAGGGGAGGCCTGTGGACGGGACGGGACAGGTGCTAGAGCAAAGGCCCTTCAAGGCCCTGCTCGCGGCTCAAAGCAAGCTCCTGCTGGGAACTCTGTTTTCTCTTCCCAGAGGGCCAGTGTGAGGAACAGGACTCCTGGGTTGCCGGGCTAGGAGAACCAATCCCTGAGAATGTGACGGGGATTTGGAACTCCTCTGCGGAGGGGAACTGCCCCGCTTGCCCGGAGCTTCCCAGGCAGCCTGTGGCAGACCCGGCTCCTCCGGATCGCCGGCTTCTGCAGTGCCTGTGTCCACCCCTGGGAAACACCTGCAGCCCCTGCTCACTGACGCACTGGCTGCTGGCCAAGTCCACAAGCTGCAGTCAGGCCTGCACCTGCTCCATGCACTCTGCAGGGCCTCCAGGAAGCAGCTGTGCAGCCCGGAGAGAAGCACTGTGGCTCCTTCCTGCCCGTCCTGCCTCTGTTTGTTCCCTGGGGAGGGTGGCACTGCAGGTTCGGTCTGCTGCAAGGGGAGTGACAAGGAGGGAAACTGTGGCACAAAGCCATGAAGCTGTGCTTTGCCTCCGTCAGGGCCCTGAAGCTTCTGAACTGCACCCTCCCGCCCACGGTCCCACCCAGCAAGAAGCAGGATCTCAGCCGGGTGTGGTGGCTCATGCCTATAGTCCCAGCACTTTGGGAGGCCAAGGCGGGTAGATCATTTGAGGTCAGGAGTTCGAGACCAGCCTGGCCAACATGGTAAAACCCTCTCTTGGCTGTAATCGCAGCTACTCGGGAGACTGAGGCAGGAGAATAGCTTGAACCTGGAAAGTGGAAGTTGCAGTGAGCCAAGATCACACCACTGCAGCCCAGCCCGGGCAACAGAGCAAGACACCATCTCAAAAAATAAATAAATAAATAAATAAAAAAGAAGCGGGATTTCAGCAGAGGGCAGGGGATAGTGGCTTCTCCGGGGGACAATACGACAGGTTAGAAAGCCACTCTCTTCACTGTGGAAGGTTGAACTAATGCTTAAGTGGCCCAAGGAAAATCAATAATGCTGCTTAGAAAGACCTGGTAATTACGTTAATTAAATCCCACTCAGAAAATCTATGAGCCCTTTTAGAAAGAAATTCTACACTGTTTGACGATCTTCCACAAAAATCCTAGTAAAAGGATCTTCATTTTAATGCAAATGCCTTTGTAGTGTGTTATTCCAAAACAAGCTTCTTAGATTTTTTTTAAGAAAGCAAAATAACATTTATTCACTGTGCCAAATAGAAAATACCATTTTTTTAAAAGGGTGTGAAATCCAGTCTTACACCCCCACCACCAGCAGCCACGCCACCATGGTATCGGGGTGTTTTCGGTAGAGATTGTTGGTGCTCCCTAAACATCACATGCCTGTGCCTTGCCAGCCCCCTGCAGGTCCAAGGCCCTGTGCCCAGCTGTGGCCCGCTCTGGGCACCTCCTGTCAGCTCTCCTGTCACTTCTCCTTCCCTTGCTGGAGCAACCTTGGAGGCCCCATGTTTCAAGTGCCACGCTGGAAAGAAGGATGGGGAATGTTCAGCCACACTGGCCCTTGGCACGAGTGAGAAATGACCTTTCCCAAGTCAACCCACTGAGACCAGGTTTCGCTGGGACTACAGTCCCACATTCGGGCCCCAGACTGTGGCTCTCCAGGTGTGGTCCCCCCCGGAGCCGTGGCTCTCCAGGTGTGGTCCCCCCCGGAGCTGTGGCCCTCCAGGTGTAGTCCCCAGACCCGAGGCTCTCCAACTGTGGTCCGGAGGACCAGGCTCTCCAGGTGTGGTACCCAAAGCCCTGGCTCTCCAAGTGTGGCCCCCAGAGCTGTGGCTTTCCAGGTGTAGTTCCCCAGGCCTGTGGCTCTCCAGATGTGGTCCCCAGACCCATGGATCCCCAGATGTGGTCCCAGGAACCACGGCTCTCCAGGTGTGGTTCCCCAGACCAGTGGCTCTCCAGGTGGGGTCCCAGACCCGTGGCTCTCCAGGTGTGGTTCCCAGAGCCATGCCCTTGCGGAAACACACATTTCTGGCCCAGTCCCAGCCCTGCTGAGCCTGAGCATGGGTGGTGTGTGGTGTCTGCTATTAGGTCCCACCATCCTGCAGAGGACTGAATGCAGCTCCAGTCTGAGAGCCGCAGCCCGGACTCCACAGGCCTTCACAGTGTGTGCTCTTTCCGTGACATAACTGGAACCATCTGATCTGCTACATAGTTTGTAGCTTTGGTTTTAAACTGAAATCACTCTCATTGTTTCTTCTATGACAAATGCATGTACTCCAAGGCGTATGCATGCCCTGCTTTTCTTTCTGCATTATATTTTATTTAGCAGAATATTTCCCTCCCTCCAACCCTCAGTTTTTCTGCTCAGCCTAGGATCCCAGTGGCCTTTTGGGTCTGGGCTTCCAATTGTGAAAAGTTGTGGCTGCTATTCCCATCCTGGCTTCCAGGAGAGGTCTTGGGTGCTGCAGCCATGCTGATTTTTCTTTTTTCTTCTTCTTTTTTCTTTTGGGGACACAGTTTTTGCTCTGTTGCCCAGGCTGGAGTGCAATGGCGCAAATCTCAGCTCACTGAAACCTCTGCCTCCTGGGTTTAAGCGATTCTCCTGCCTCAGCTTCCCGAGTAGCTGGGATTATAGGCATGCACCACCACACTCAGCTAATTTTTGTATTTTTATTAGAGACAGGGTTTCACCATGTTGGCCAGGCTGGTCTTGAACTCTTGACCTCAGGTGATCCACCTGCCTCAGCATCCCAATGTACCAGGATTACAGGCGTGAGCCACTGCCCCCGGCCTGATGTTTTTCTTCGTAAGTGGGTTTTTCTATTACTTGCCGCTGCCCAAGCACAGATGGTGACTTACCAGTGCTGTCAGAGCAGGTGACTATGGTGAGAGTCATTGTAATTATCAGGTGAGACCGGGAAGAATCCACGTGCACCAGGGTGGGGTGCTTCACCCTGAGCTGCGGACCTCCACGAACGAGCTCCATCAGTCTCGAGGTGCTGCCAACCACCCTCCAGATGAGTGGAGAACACAGTGCAGGTGGAGAACACTGTGCAGGTGCCCCCCTGACCCAAGGCGACTTCTGGTCCTCCTCGGCTCAGGGAAGCGTCTCACATGAGCCACACACACTGACAGGGGCTAAAGCCAGCCTTGGGCACAATAAAACAGCAAACTTTTTCCTTTAGAGGCCTAACCAGCCTGTTACATCTGTAATTGCTTACCCTGAAATAATGGACTGTTTTGGAACAAAATCAGAGGTTGCTACCCTTTCCAACGTCAACTATTCCTTCATTATAGCTTCCAGGAACAATGTTTTCAAAAATATTTTGTGTATCAAATCTGATTTACAAAATAAAGGTTTAGCCCGTTTCCCCATGGAAGGAGATGAACTAAGCCTGCTGATCAGAGCTCCTTTTTTTCTTATCTTTTTAGGTGGAGTCTTGCTCTGTCTCCAGGCTGGAGTGCAGTGGCGCGATCTCGGCTCACTGCAACCTCAGTCTGCCAGTTTCAAGTGATTCTTCTGCCTCAGCCTTCCAAGTAGCTGGGACTACAGGTGCATGCCACCACGCTCAGCTAATTTTTGTATTTTTGGTAGAGACAATGTTTCACCAGGTTGGCCAGGATGGTCTCCATCTCTTGATCTCGTGATCTGCCCACTTCGGCCTCCCAAAGTGCTGGGATTACAGGCGTGAGCCACTGCGCCTGGCCAATCAGAGCTCTTAATCAGCAGGAGATAACATTTCCACCCCAGTCTGCCAGTCAAAGGCTCAAAGTTTGAGTGACTTTGTGTAACAGTATAAGCATTTCATGGATGACTTCCTTCAGCTCTGTGAAATATCCAGCGTGGCCGGCAGGCCCTCCCCTTGCTGCCTCGGGCCGAGGATGGACGCCTGTGCAGGCCCTCACTCGTGGGGAGAGTTTCCTCTGTCACCTCCAAGCTGCATCCCCACTGGGGCAAACCCAGCACATGTGTGTGGATTTTAAAATAGGCAACTTTGAGGAAAATACTTAATATGGGGATCCGCACCTTTACAAGAGGATTCATTATCATATTCTAGAAAATACTGATATTTACAAATGCAAAGGAGCTCATCTCTCCTAGCCTGAGTGGTGTGGCAAGTTCTTTCACTTCCACAAGCCTGCTTCCTCATCTGTGAGATGGCATGACACCCATCTGATAGGCTCTTATGAAGATTTTTTTTAACATACATTTGTTTGTGGCCGGGTGCGGTGGCTCATGCAGTAATTCCAGCACTTCGGGAGGCCAAGGCAGGCGGATCACGTGAGGTCGGGAGTTGAAGACTAGCCTAACCAATATGAAGAAACCCTGTCTCTACTAAAAACACACGATTAGTCAGACATGGTGGTGCATGCCTGTAATCCCAGCTACTCAGGAGGCTGAGGCAGGAGAATTGCTTTAACCCAGGAGGCAGAGGTGGTAGTGTGCCAAGATCTCACCATTGCACTCCAGCCGGGGCAGTAAGAGCAAAACTCTGTCTCAAAAAACAAACAAACAAAAAACACAAACAAACCAAAAAAGATACATTTGTTTGTTTAGTTTAATTTTGATTGTAAAAAATAAAGCCTATAATCCCAGCACTTTGGGAGGCCGAGGCGGGTGGATCACGAGGTCAAGAGATCGAGACCATCCTGGTCAACATGGTGAAACCCCGTCTCTACTAAAAATACAAAAAATCAGCTGGGCATGGTGGCGCGTGCCTGTAATCCCAGCTACTCAGGAGGCTGGGGCAGGAGAATTGCCTGAACCCTGGAGGCGGAGGTTGCGGTGAGCCGAGATCGCGCCATTGCACTCCAGCCTGGGTAACAAGAGCGAAGCTCCGTCTCAAAAAAATATATATATATTTTTTCTGTTTGTTTTACTTTTATCTCTAACAGCTTTAAGATATTAATGACATATGAGAACTGTATCTATTTAAGGTATACACCTTGATATTTTGCTATATATATACATTGTGAAATGATCACCCATTCCAGCTAATTAACATATGTCACCCCGACACAGCCACCTTTAAAGAAAGATCATTCCTGCAGCAAATTGAGACAAAGCATGAAAACATGTAAGGAACCATTCACTGACAGGGAGCACTGATGGGGCCACCACACTGATTCTACTCAGGACCTTCGGGCGTGGGGAGCTCATGGAGAGATGTGCAGCCTCCTGACGATGAGGCAGGTGCCGTTCCCGGTCAGAGGCCAGCAGCACGACCTCTATCCGGCCATCCTTGGCTGTCATCACCTCACGCTTGACCCCTGACACAGCTACAACGCTGTCTTTGGCCAGAAGGTCAAAAACATCATTATTATAAACTTCCACGATGGAGACTCCAACCTTTGGGATTCTTGAGGGATTTTCCAAAATAAGCCTGGAGGGAAACACACAGGGAAACTTACAGAAAGTCTCACAGAGTGATTTTCAGTGCAAGCCAATCACAGCCCCACACGCCCTAGAGGATGCTTAGTAAAATGCTGGGGTCTGAGCAGGAGGCTGCATGTCACTCACCCCAAGATCACCTGGGGAGAGGGGTGTGCTATGTAGGTTGTAGGGTGAATATGTGTCTTGGGAACAGTGATTTTATCAGAGTTATATTTAAACCAGCGCCTTTGCAAACAGTACACTGAAGACCCACAGAGACTCAAGGCAAGCTGCAGAGACATTTGGGCCTCTAGCACTTCCCAGTGATGGGGTTTGTTTATTTTAAAACGTTTTCCACTTCAGGGAAGCTTGAGTCCAGAGTTCTTTATTCCAATTCCACTTGTGCCTTCCACCTGAGACCCTCCTGCGAGACCCATAAAACCAACTCAGGCTCTTTAAAAAGCAGCTGCACATCTTACTTTGCTCCATGTTTTAAAGAACTACATGCTGACCGCAGGAATGTTTTTAAATAAAGATACTACACTTAGAGAGAGAGAAATAAAACCATAATCCCACAACAAGAAAAAGCTGAGCGCTGGCCCTGGACTCCCTCCCTTCCCTCTCTCCTCCCACGGGCTTTCTGGTTTGTCTCTTTGACAAAACACCCCTCCCGACCTTGTCAGCAAGGAACAAAGGCCTCTTTCGGTCTGCTGGAGGTGACCACCTCTCTACCACCTGCACAGCGGAGGCCATCCGACAGTGAGTCCTGCGCTCTTCCTGTTCCTAAGGCTATTCTGAGAATGCCAAGTGGACCCAGGGAAAAGCGAGCAGGGAGATTTCCCACCCAGGTGCTGCCAGGCTGAGCTTTTCATCCAGATCTAGAGGGGTTTTGTCTTCGAATGATAAACAGTAAAGAAAACACGAAGACTAAAATGAAAGAGAAAGTAAGTTAAACCCTCAGGTAAAAATCATGACTGGCAAAGCGTCAAGATTTGTATTTCACAGGCTCAGCACTGGGGTTGCTGAGAACATTCTAAGAAGAGCGTGTGCAACAGTGAAAAATGAAGTTAACTAAGCTAGAGATTTTATTTTACTTTTTATTTATTTGTTTATTTTTGAGTCTCGCTCTGTCACCCAGGCTGGGATGCAATGGTGTGATCTCGGCTCACTGCAACCTCTGCCTCCCAGGTTCAATTGATTCTCCTGCCTCAGCTTCCTGAGTAGCTGGGATTACAGGCGTGTGCTACCAAGCCTTGCTAATTCTTGTATTTTCAGTAGAGACAGGGTTTTGCCATGTTGGCCAGGCTGGTCTCGAACTCCTGACCTCAGGTGATCCACCTGCCTAAGCCTCCTAAAGTTCTGGGATTACAGGTGTGAGCCACCGTGCCGGGCCTAAGCGGAGATTTTACGTTCCCATCCTCTCCACACATTAGGCAAAATGCACCACAGACCCAGAAACTGAACCTCAGCACTTGGGCCCACCCTTTCATGTGACAGTTTGTCTCTTTGAGTGTCACAAAACCTAAGTTAGAAATTTCTCAGCTATGTAATACCGAGGAGTTAATTCAAAAGGTTCCCCACCAATAAGTACTGGGCTGCTGAGTAGATTCTAGGGACAATGGTGAAAACTGCAAGCTTCAGTCTTAGCCTTGAAGAAGCAAAGCGCTCAGCAGGTGAGGCACGCACGCACGGGACTCCAGGTTGTGCGAGAAACGTGTGATGCAAACGCACATGGCTCCCCTGACTTCCGGGGAGGGGAGTGAGGGGGGCGGGGCCGTACGTTGCCTCCATCCCCTGCTCCTGTGCATTTCCTGCTGGGTCATAATTACCACTCTAGACCACTTTTTAAGAGCATAAAATTGATCACATGCACCTTTGGGTCCCCAGTGCCTTTCCCGGTGCATGGCAGACGGAGGAACATCGCTCACTCCTGTGGGTGACGATGGCAGTGGAGACCAGTCAGTTAGGGCGTGGTGTCAACACCCAGGTGTAGACGGAAGGAGATGGGAGTGCAGAGCCAAGCAGCCCAGGCAGCGGCACCGCAGGAAATGCCTCCTCTGCTGACTTCAGCAACCTAAGAGCAGTCGTTTTCAGGGTGAAGGGCTCCTGACAACACTGATGTCACTGTAGTTTTGTATGATCTTCGGCACAGGCCGTTTGCGCTTTGATTCACAAACACCCCAGCTCACCCCTGGCCCCGGCCCAGCTCACCCCTCTCTGGGTCTCATGCGGGTCCACGTCTGCCCCAATTCTCATTTCTGCAAACGATGAAAGTGAGGTTTCGGGAAGTCAGGGCCTTGCCCAGGGCCACTCACTTGGAAGAGCAGAGATAGACTCAGACAGAGGAATTCCAGCACCACAAATCACTGTGCCATGGTGGGAGGCGCTCAGCACCACGACTCGGAATAGCAAAACGGAAAAACCATTTCAGAAATGAGGCACTGAAACACTGGCCCATAATGCCACTGGCCAATTGGTAATGCTGATGAGAGGCCTAGCTGCCCGCGCATTGATAATGCTGATGAGCCGTTTCTGGAGAGGCCCAGCCGCCTGGCCCGTTGCTAATGCTGATGAGCCGTTTCTGGAGAGGCCCAGCCGCCTGGCCCGTTGCTAATGCTGATGAGCCGTTTCTGGAGAGGCCCAGCCGCCTGGCCCGTCGGTAATGCTGATGAGCCGTTTCTGGAGAGGCCCAGCCGCCTGGCCCGTCGGTAATGCTGATGAGCCATTTCTGGAGAGGCCCAGCCGCCTGGCCCGTCGGTAATGCTGATGAGCCGTTCCTGGAGAGGCCCAGCTGCCTGGCCCCTTGGTAATGCTGATGAGCCGTTTCTGGAGAGGCCCAGCCGCCTGGCCCGTTGGTAATGCTGATGAGCTGTTCCTGGAGAGGCCCAGCCGCCTGGCCGTCTTCCTGATGGATCTTGCCTAGCATTTGCAGGCAGCTAACAGCCCTTCCCCATCTCAGCAGCCCTCTGCTGTCCTGGATGTGCTTCCTGGTAAAGTCTAGAGCCACATGGAAATGCAGCCACGGGATGTCAAGATGCCTGCTCTGATGGCCGTGCATCGTGTGTCTCTAAGCCCAGCTGAGGGTGAAACGACCTTGGAAGTACGCACGCAGCTCCCACCGGGAACATAAGGAAGCCAGCCTCTGGGACGCGCTGCCACGCCACATCTCCCCTCCCACCATGGTGTCCCCACTGTCACAGACAAAAAGAAACGCACTGGGGTGGGAGTTGGGGGACGTCTCTAAACTCCCACCATTCTCTCCCACTTCCTACCTCAGTTCCCAGCGCTCTTGCCTGAGGCTGTTTCTGGGCCCTCAGGAGTTTGCTTAGCAGAAGGAAGAATGACGCCTTGAATATTTAGTGACATGCGCCATCCATGCAAGCTGACTTTCTCCACTAATTTGGACAGCTGTCACGTTGTCAGTGTGGATGCTAAGTTTAGGGGCGCACGGAGCAGGGTCTCCTATATGTTGGGTGCGTGTGTGAGTGAGGGCAGCCGTGCAGGGCAGCCAGGGCCTCAGGGGAGGGGGACACCCTCGTCCAGGGAGAGCCTTTCTCCAGGATTCCCTCCTCCAGTCCCTGCTCTCCAGCATCTCTCCAAACGAGGCTGGGAAAGCCACCAGCAGCCGCAGCTCTGCCGTGTCCCGACGGGCTGACCCTCAGGCTCCCAGCTAATGGGGACCATCACCCCCTTGTGAAGATCCTTTCCCTGGGGAAGGGACCAGAGAAGAAATGGAAAGTGATGTCCCCAGCAGCAACCTGGCACTGCCCAGCATGTCTGTGACCCACACCGGGAGCCACAGGGTCGTGAAATTCTGAAACTGAATCAAACGCATGACGCAGTGCAGTACCCGAGACTGGGCCTTGGTTGCCTAAGTTAACAGCCCTTGGCTGTGTGTCTGCAGCGGGCTGTGTGTCCACAGTGGGCTGTGTCTGCAGCAGGCTGTGTCCGCAGCAGGCTGTGTCCATGGTCGCCTGTGTGTTCCACAGTGGGCTGTGTCCGCGGTGGGCTGTGTGTCTGCGGTGGGCTGTGTCCGCGGTGGGCTGTGTGTCCGCGGTGGGCTGTGTGTCCGTGGTGGGCCGTGTGTCCACGGTGGGCCGTGTCCGCGGTAGGCTGTGTGTCCGCGGTGGGCTATGTCTGCGGTGGGCTGTGTGTCCACGGTGGGCTGTGTTCTGAAGTGGGCTGTGTGTCCACGGTGGGCTGTGTCCGCGGTGGGCTGTGTGTCCGCAGTGGGCTGTGTGTCCGTGGTGGGCTGTGTCCGCGGTGGACTGTGTGTCCATGGTGGGCTGTGTGTCCATGGTGGGCTGTGTCCGCGGTGGGCTGTGTTCTGCGGTGGGCTGTGTTCTGCGGTGGGCTGTGTGTCTGCGGTGGGCTGTGTTCTGAAGTGGGCTGTGTGTCCACGGTGGGCTGTGTCTGTGGTGGGCTGTGTCCGCGGTGGGCTGTGTGTCCGTGGTGGTCTGTGTGTCCATGGTGGGCTGTGTCCGCGGTGGGCTGTGTGTCCGTGGTGGGCTGTGTGTCCACGGTGGGCTGTGTCCGCGGTGGGCTGTGTGTCCACGGTGGGCTGTGTCCGCGGTGGGCTGTGTGTCCACGGTGGGCTGTGTCCATGGTGGGCTGTCTGTCTGTGGTGGGCTGTGTCCATGGTGGGCTGTGTCCATGGCAGGCTGTGTCGCTGTGGCAGATGTTTCGCTCCACCAGCTCGCGCCCTGTGGAACGCAGATGTGGCCACACGACGCGTGAGCAGGACTGATGCGTGGCATTCCCCAGCGGGATGGGTACATGCGGGCATGTGGACCCCTCCCCCGAGAACGCAGAGGCCTGCGCTCCACATGGCCTTTTCACCGAAGGTCTGTTCCTACACACAGTCTCTCCCTCTGGGCCAGTGTCTCCTGGGCACAGGAGATGAGAACCAGAAACAGCGAGGTGCTGGCCAGCTTTGCTTCAGAAAGAATGAAGAGAGGCAAATTCACACATACATTGGTTTCTGTGCACAAATACTTAAAGAGTATTGATCTGAAGAGGCACTGAAATATTAGCTATTGCGGAAGCTCTCACATCTTGGTCCAGCCCTAGTTTTCAGATGTGAACGGGCCATTTGAGGACACACAAGAGACAAAAATCAAACCTTGGAGGGAGTGGGCACGAAGGGCCAGTCGGCTCCACCGCCAGCGTGCTGCTCCGAGGGGCTGGCCGCTCCGGGGACATGCCACCGAGAAAGCCGCCACCCTGCAGTGCAGGATGCACACACACGCGTGAGCGTGAACATCCTGCCACGTCTCCACCAAAGGCTGGAGGGCCCTGCCAGCCCGGGGAGGAGATCCTGAGGACATTCAGGCTTTCCTGCGCCTCTGGACTGCTGAGACGACCTTTTGCTCTTTTTCCTCTAGGACTAATTTTGTTGGTGAAACCATGACACTGGCAGTGGATCTCTTTCAGGAATGTGCTAACAGGTCTTGAGCCTCCTCACAGGCCATGTTGGCTGGACCCTAAAGACAAGTGGATGCGTAGACTCTTGATGGGGGTGGGGAAAGGCGACCGGAGGACAAGAATTTTCACTCTGTGCTTCCCATTTCAGGACAGAAAACCTCCATCTCCACCATCCCCAATCATCCCCCACCATCCCCCACTATCCTGCACCATCCCCCACCTTCCCCACCATCCCGCACCATCCTCCACCATCTCGGGATCTCTTTCAAGAAGTTTTGCCTTGGCCAGGCACAGTGGCTCACGCCTGTAATCCCAGCACTCTGGGAAGCCGACGTGGGTGGATCACCTGATGTCAGGAGTTCGAGACTAGCCTGGTCAACATGGTGAAACCCCATCTCTAATAAAAATACAAAAATTAGCCGGGTGTGGTGGTGTAAACCTATAATCCCAGCTACCCAGCTTGAACCCAGGAGGCGGAGGTTGCAGTGAGCCAAGATTGCGCCACTGCACTCCAGCCTGGGTGACAAAGCAAGACCTTGTCTCCAAAAAAATTGAAAAATAAAAAAGGTTTTGTCTTCATGATAGAATTTCAACATAATTTCATCACAGGAATTTGTAGCAATAATGCCCAGAAGTCTGGAAGTGCTTGGTAGTGTTGAATGTATCTGGGGAGATTATGGGGTTTGATCAATTTCTTCAAATGGCAATAATTTTTCCCACGTGATGACCAAGGTGCCGCCCACCTGGCTTCCGTGCCATAGTTCTCTGCCCCACTCATCACCGTCTGTGGTACCTGACGAGCTCCTCAGCCTCTCTGGGGATAATTCCTAAGTCCCCTGTGGGAGGAAAGGCAGGATAGGGTTATCGTCCGAATGGGATCCCAGCATGGTGTAGGTCTTCCCGCTGCCTGTCTGTCCATACGTCATAACACAAACTTGGTACCTAAAATTCAGAGCAGATTCAGTCAGCAAGACACACCTGGGGCTGGTGCCAAGAAGATTCCAGGAAACATTGTTACTCGTACGAGAAATGCAGTAAGTTTCGTTTCCTATTCCCCTGTAACTCCATTTCTTATAAATTAGGCTTTCATTGAACTACAACTATTTTTTACATAATCCATTGGTGTTGCTATCCTGTGGTACAAGACCGGATTAAAGAGTGTTTGCACTGACACACGCAGCATGGGTCCTTCCATCCCGGTTTCTCCCAGGTGTTTTCACCTCCCTGTTCGAGGGCTCAGCGTTCACATGGGGATTCTGACCTTAGCAAGGCCCCACACCTACACCTTAACTTTCTTTTTCTTTTTCTTTTTTTGAGATAGAGTCTTGCTCTGTCACCCAGGCTGGAGTGCAGTGGTGATCTCGGCTCAGTGCAACCTCTGCCTCCCTCCTGAGTAGCTGGGATCACAGGCGTGCACCACCACAAACAGCTATTTTTTGTATTATTAGTAGAGATGGTGTTTCACCATGCTGGCCAGGCTGGTCTGGAACTCCTGACCTCAAGTGATCTGCCTGCCTCAGCCTCCCAAAGCTCTGGGATTCCAGGCGTGAACCACATTCAGGAATGTGCTAACGGGCGAATGGCTTCACTGTAACTTTCAATGCAGCATCAGAGCTGCCCAATGCAAGTGCATGTCCCTAAAATCGCAGGTACCATATGGTGTGGTGGGTCCACATGGCGTGATGCTAGGTGGGCTGGCGCCTCAGAGCAGGATGTCCAGCCCTGACCACCCGTCCAACTCACCTGGGGAGATGAAGCAGGTCGTACACTCAGAAATTCTGACTGAACTGGTCAGCTGTGACTCCGACTTCAGCACGTGCGGATTGGCGGCGGACACGAAAACCTCCAAGTCCCTTCCCATAACGAAGCACAAAACTATTTTTTGTATGAAAACATATACAAAAATGGCTCGTGCTTATAATCCCAGCACTTCAGGAGGATAAAGTAGGAGGATCCCTTGAGCCCAGGAGTTTGAGACCAGCCTGGGCAACATAGTGGGACCCCTATCTCTATATTAAAATAACATGTTACCATCTTAAGTATTACTATAGTTAATGATGTTAGTACTCAATTACTTATGTTAAAGGAAAATACTTTCAGAATATCAAAAGAAAATATGTAAACTTTTATCTCATTTAACATACATTATATATAGTAAGTGTGATTTATTACCACATGTTTAACGTGGTATACCCACCACAAGTCAAACAAATAAAGGCTGCTGTTTTGATAAAATAGTTACAAGACAGTGTCCTGACTGACATCTAAATCACCCCTAGAGCAGGACAGGAAAGCAGCAGAGGCCGGTCCTGGGCTGACCGTTTGAGTCGTAGCAATAAGAGCCTGGAAGCCTCACGCTCCCGCAAAGCTGATCAGGCCTCTCTGTTCCCAGCCCGGATTGTTCTTTCCAGAATTAAAAAATCTGAAGGCATTCATAACAAAACCCCACTACATCCCCTGTCTCTTCCAGCTTCCCTGAGTTCATTTATGTGCCTTTCTTAGTGTGGAGAATATCTTTGACGATAACAGATAAATGGGTTCTTCCAGGGGTCTTTCAAACCATTTAGGGATGTAGAGGGAAAGGAAACTTCCTGAGGAAGGAAGCTGTAAACCAAAAATAAAATCCTAAGGCCCCCAGACAGCTGTATGGGCTTCCTCCTCGACCAGAGCACTCAAATTTAACTCAGAGTCCGGCTGGGGCCATGATGGGAAGTGGGGACCGGACAGGCCTCATCACGCCTTCCTGCACTGACATCAACACTGGCCTGACGTCTGATAAGAAACACTGACCACCTGCTCTCGCCAAACCTGAAGGCTTCCTCTGCAAAGGAGAACTTTGGTCTCCACAATCCTTCGCCTTAACCAGAGGCCCTGAGCAATGCATTTCTTAAAGGAACTTGACTGACGTCTCACGTCTCCCTAAAACGTGTAAAACCGAGCTGCACCGGACCACCTTGGGTACATGTTCTCAGGGCCTCCCGAGGGCTGTGTCACAGGCCATGATCACTCATGTTTGGCTCAGAGTAAATCTCTCCCAACATTTTACAGAGTTTGACTCTTTTCACCGACAAGACTCGGGACTTAAAATAACTCCATCTGTTTCGTGTTATCCTGGAAAGGCAGCTCTGGCAGTGATCACTCTAACCACAATGTGCTTTTTATTTCAGGAATATGCTTACTTAAAAGATGCCTACTTAAACAGAGACTACCCTATCATTTTCAAACACATTTTTTCAGTTGGGTATAAAGTTCCAGCCTCTGGGGGAAGAGTTGAAGCAGCTTTATCCTGATTGTGGGCGCGGCCCCGCCAGTGTGCACGCAGTCGGACACAGCAGCTTCCTGAGTTGACCCTACTCGTCGGATCACATGCCTTTGGGGTGCACAGCACACTGTATAATTAGGGTGTCTAGTTTCTTAAGCATGGCTGTGCAGAAGCCTTTGCTGGACAAATTTCGAGTCAAGTTAGTCTTCGTCAGGAACTTTATGGAGACTCCGCCACAAAACCGAGACCCTTCCAAAGGCCCAGGAGAAGGAAGTCTTGGCTTAAGGTATCTCCATGAAGTAAAAAAATTCATCATCCCTGAATTACGACCCACTGCCTTTGACGTCAGTAGTTGTGTATTGCAAGAACAGAAAGCAGATTCCCAAAGGGAAAAGTCCCTAGGTCTGATGTTAACATTCTTATAGATTTTATTAAAATTCTGAAATGTAAAAGAATCCCAGAGAGAATGGCAGCTGCTATCAGAGCTGAAGCCCACATGCAACGTAACTAAGGTGGAGTCTGGAATCCCAGGTAGATATACTCAGTTAACAAGCATTCTCCAACTCACTCTCGCCCCTTTTCCTAAGGTGCGGAAATAGTCTCCACGGATGCACGCGGCGTCCACGATGGGTTACCGTGGGTGTGCTCTGCAGTCCTGTAAAATGCTCAGACTCTAACACTACCTTCTCACTCCACACAATGAAGCCTATTTATATTTAAATGTGACTATGATGACTGGCCTTAACAATATTTTAACTCACCCATCCAAGAGCAGTATTTGAACTCACCCATCCAAGAGAGACACGAGTAGGGGGCATACATCTCCAAAGACCGCGCTCTGAGATGCTGCTGGACCATAAACCCTGAGAGACCAAGTGAAAATTCTGCACTAATAGAAGACGCAGAAAGCGACCCTACAGGCGGCTCAGAAACCCGGGAACTCAGTGCCCGGTGTACCTCCCACCCCCAACACCATCAAGATTCTTCAGCAAAAGATTAACTTGTGTTATTTTTCAACATAACAGAGGTTAAGAAAGAGTAAAGATACTGCTTTCTGCTATAAAAATATAATAAGCATAAACAAAGTGACAAGTGCTTGCAAGGGAGGGAAGGAGGGAGGGAGGGAAGGGAGGGGAAAGAAAA